ATGGAAGGCTGAGTCAACCTTGAGCCTGGTGAGATTCGATCTTACTTTAATTGCAGACAGCTGGTGTTAAATTACAGTGCTTAGTCTGTTGAGCTATCCTGTTTAAAACAGTGGCTAGGTTTGTGTAACACAATCACCTAAAACAAATCACATTTTGGCGTAGCGTGATTGTTAGCCTCGCCCAGTCTTTTCAGCATGATGAGCTGCATTATATTTCTGATTCAGTTATGACGTTTATTTCCTTCGGTATAAATGTGTTAATATGTGTACTTTTTAAATAAACCTGGCTTCTTTGGTCCTCCTTTGCATGATGCAAAGTAAGAGTTTTTGTTCTCGAAACACCACCTCATTATGTGCTTTGACCTTGCATTATCCTTGATTGTTCTAAAGCTCAACACAGGTTGGGTTTCATTCGATGTTGTTCCCAAACTTGACTTTTGCTCTTGATACCTAGAATTTCTGTTGCTGCTCATCACAGCTGCTTCCCACAGTGGAATCAAACTTCGAGCCTTTCTTGTTTGCCGAAACTTTGTTCTTTTTTTTTCCTTACCAACCTGAGAAAAAAAGAAAAAAAACCACTGACAGGTGAATTATACAGCCAGAAACACCTTATTTATAAAGCTAATATGAAATACGTTTAAGAGCCTCCATTTTAACAGCAAAGCTTCCATTTCTCTCCCTCTCCCTGTTTTCATTAGAGAAATATAAAATGTGAATAATACCTTTATATTGTAAAGCTCCGTGCCAGCATCCATCTTCTGAGTTCTTTATAGTATCCTGCTAGCAAACTCTCTCCTGAATCATAAATAGAATTTGCTCATGAAGTAAAATAGTGCATTGTTTTCATTGTTAGAAGACGCTGCTAAATTGGCTGTATTTTGATAATCACATCCGAAGCCGATTATTCTGCTAATAGCCTTAAGATATTATTTTATTTTTAAAAAATAAGTGTTTCACTATAATCCTAATACTACTATTTAAAAAAAAAAATCCTTTCTTGTTTCTGCAAAGTCTGAATGAGATTTTCAAAATTGAATAATAATTTGATCCGTTAATCTTTTGAAGCTAGTAATTTTATTTTCCCCTCTTTGCGGTCTCCGAGGCTTGCAAATGAATAGAGCTTCATTACTGGAGCCTGCATTTAATAACCATTATCCATTATCTTGTAATTAAGACCCCTTGTAACGAATCATGAGGACAATGCAAAAATACATAGTACATTTCTTTAATGAACTGGAAAATGTTCATCTTGTTCTATTTAGTAATGAGTTGCTGAATAGTCGTTAAATCCACTGGAGAATACAGCGAGATGGATTTTGAAGACTATCTTGAGTTTGTGGTTAATCTATTAGAATTAAAATTTCATCTTCTATTTTTATCAACAGCCGATTAGAAGCCCTTCTGTTTGACCAAATTGATTATGAGACCCTATACAAGGGCAGATGTTGTTTAATGAAAGTTTTTAATGAAACCATACCAATGAGATTTCTAATTATCAGACTTATAAAAGCTTTGACTTACCTTACTCCGATAGGAGGAAGTGGGAGATAGGGGTGGAAGACTTAAACAAAAGGGCTTAAACTCTGTGATTTTTTTTATAAAAAAAATGAGGGGAGGGAGAACATACGAGTTGATGCAAAGAAGTTTACTTTTTTCTTTCTAAAGAGGGAACTTTCTCGTCTCTTTAAGAAAAGTTCTGTGGGGCAGACAACGTAGTGAAATGGCAAAGGACATAAGTAGTATCAAATGCAGTCAAATGCATCCAGATCAGTATTTTCCATGCTGCCTGGGAATTCTGGGAGTTGAAATCAAAGAGAAGACAAGAGAAGAGAAGAGTAGAGTAGAGTAGAGTAGAGTAGAGTAGAGTAGAATAGAATAGAATAGAATAGAATAGAATAGAATAGAATAGAATAGAATAGAATAGAATAGAATAGAATAGAATAGAATAACAGTTGGAAGGGACCTTGGAGGTCTTCTAGTCCAACCCCCTGCTCAGGCAGGAAACTCTATATCCTTTCAGACAAATGGTTGTCCAACATCTTTTTAAAAACTTCCAATGTTGGAGCATTCACAACTTCTGGAGGCAAGTTGTTCCACTGATTAATTGTTCTAGCTGTCAGGAAATTTCTCCTTAGTTCTAGGTTGCTTCTCTCTTTGATGAGTTTCCACCCATTGCTTCTTGCCGTGCCCTCAGGTGCTTTGGAGAATAGCTTGACTCCCTCTTCTTTGTGGCAGCCCCTCAGATATTGAAACACTGCTATCATGTCACCCCTAGTCCTTCTTTTCATCAGACTAGACATAACCAGTTCCAGCAACCGTTCTTTATATGAAATCCACACATTTTCAAGTTGCCAAGTTTGTAAAACACTAGAGAAGCCTTGTTGTCTATGCCTCGTCTCTTGAAGTGTTTTCTGGATAATGATCTTGACGGTTTATTCTCAATTCTATATTAATTGAGGGTTTCCCCCAGGGGTGAAGAACCGGTAGCGGAAATTTTGAGCAGTACAGAGAACCGGCAAATACCACTTCTGGCTGGCCCCAGAGTGGGGTGGGAATGGAGATTTTGCAGTATCCTTCCCCTGCCACGCCCACCAAGCCACACCACACACCCCAAGCCACGCCCACAGAACCGGTAGTAAAAAAATTTGGATTTCACTACTGCTTTCCCCTATGCTTAGGTCTTAAATAGAGACAAAAATAGGTGGAAGGTACCTGAGAGGTAGGGGTACTGAGTACACTGTCATCTTTTCATAGTGGGAGTTGGTTCCATAGGTAAAACAGAGTGGAAAGATAGGAGGAAGAGTAATGTTTTGTGTAAATAAAAATTATTTGGTGTAACCATGCAAAATAAGTACAGGTAGTCCTCTCCTTACAACAGTTCATTTAGTGGCCATTCCACGTTACAATGGCACTGAAAAAAAGCGACTTATGACCATTTTTCACACTTGCATCTGTTGTGGCATCCCTAAAGTTACATGATCAAAATCCAGCTGTTTGGCAACTGACTCATATTTATGACGGTTGCAATGTCCTGGGGTCATGTGATCACCTTTTGGGACCTTCTGATAAGCAAAATCAATGGGGAAGCCAGGTTCATTTAATAACCGTGTTACTAATTTAGCAGTTGCAGTGATTCATTTAACAACTGTGGTAAGAACAGAAATTTTTGCCTCAATTGTGGTCGTAAGCTGAGGACTATCTGTATTTCAGATGAAAAGTCCTACTGGTATAAAAAATATTGGGGTAAAATCTAATCTGGTAATCTGTAGCATTCTTAGCAAAGTTGTCAAGATCATTTTTTTTTAATATGTATTGTCTTTGTACATATATACACAGTATACCCATACAACAAAATTCACACAACACCCAGAGACCAAGCCTAACACACATGACAACCCCCCCCCACACACACACACCAAAAATTCCCCACCCCTAAACCACCCAAGCATCTACACAGCAGACCAAGTAATGCTGTCCAACAGCTCACTGATGGTGGCCCTTTAGTTCATTGTTGAGTGCAATTATAGCTCTGGGATAAAAACTATTCAGAAGACCGTGTGGTCCGAGTTTTAATTGTTCTGTATCTTCTGCCAGAAGGCAGCAGTCCAAAAAGATTGTAAGCAGGATGGGAAGAGTCTCTGAGAATGTTGTGCAACTTCCTCAAACAGCGAGATGCGAAGATGTCATCCAGGGCTGGTAGCTGGAGTCCGATGATATTCTGGGCCGTTTTAATAATTCTCTGTAGAGCTTTTATATCCGCTGCAGAGCTGCTCCCATACCATGCAAGAATGCCGTATGTCAGGACACTCTCAATGGTGCTGCGATAGTAGGACAGAAGTAGATGCTGAGATAGATTTATCTTCCTGAGCATTCTCAGGAAGTACAGCCTCTTCTGTGCCTTCTTCCCAAGCATGTCAGCATTCATAGTCCATGAGAGGTCCTCTGAGATATAAATGCCTAGAAATTTAAAACTACCAACCCTCTCCACCTCCTCATCATTTATGTACAATGGTAAATGTACATCTCTCTTCCTCCTGAAGTCCATTATAAGTTCTTTAGTTTTTTTGGTGTTAAGTATAAGATTATTTTCTTTACACCCCTTGTACTTCCTTTCTTTAAGCAGACTCATTGTTCTTATTAATGAGCCCCACCCACTGTCGTGTCATCCGCAAATTTAGTTGTCAGAATGTTGGCTGACTAATTTCTGAAAGTATAACAACAGACAATGCACAATGACTAGAAGATCTCCCAGGTGCCTTTCAACTCTGCTATTCTGTGACTCATCACCCAGATTTCCTTGTCTGAGACAGGTGGCTATAATAGATAGATGGATGGATGGATGGATGGATGGATGGATGGATGGATGGATGGATGGATGGATAGATAGATAGATAGATAGATAGATAGATAGATAGATAGATAGATAGATAGATAGATGATAGATAGATGCTGACTTTTGAAAAGTAAATGAAAACGCAGTGTGGAACAGAATAGAGAAAGACTGTTGGCTGGGAATTATTTATTTATTTATTGTTTATTTATTGGTTTGATTTATATGCTGCCCTTCTCCAGAGACTCAGGGCGGCTTACAATGCGTTAAGCAATACCCTTCATACTTTTGTATATACCTGCTTAGTAGGGCTTTCGGCCCCCCCAAGCGGTGTTCTTTTTTATACAAAGTCATCTTATTGCCCCCACAATCCGGGTCCTCATTTTACCTACCTCGAAAGGATGGAAGGCTGAGTCAACCTTGAGCCTGGTGAGATTTGAACTTGCAGTAATTGCAGGCAGCTGGTGCTATTTAACAGCACTTTAGTCTGCTGCGCCACCAAGGCTCTTTTGAACCGAAAGCGATTTTCCATCACAGCTGTTGTTTCAAATCCCATTATTTCCTGCCTTTGAAAAGAGAGGGGATCAGTATTGACAACGAACCTTAAATCTAGGAGTTCTGATATTATATTTTGCTGACATAAAGTTTTCTCCTCCCTTCTCTTCCTAAGGGTCCGATTTTATCAAGACGTCTACCGGAAAAGAAGCGGTGAATGCTATTTTCCCAGTGGGGCTGGTCATGGTGAGAGCTATTAGAGACTACTACTGGAAAACTGGCTATAAGGTAATGTGATAGCTCATCTGTCAGGGTTCCATGTAATACACCCATAGCAAGGCAAACTCCAAGGCAGTTAGATTCCTCAAAGAATAGCTTTATTAGATATACCATATTGGCACAGATCTGGTGAAAACCGACTCTGAAGGTTCCCACAGTTTTCACCTAATTAAAAGTAAAAGTTTTTTTCCCTCTCCCCAAACAATCAATCACATGGTCAAATTGAGGTGCTGTCCGGTTGCCGGGTAATATCACTGGCAGAATGACCTTGGTTCTCAAGAGAAAGTATTTTGTTTTGGCTACAAAACCCCAGCTCTCTCTATTCCTATTCCTCCTTCCCTATCCCTCAGCTCCAGTGTGGCAACACTGAAGCGACAAAATGGCTTCAGTCAGGTCAGCTTCAGGGTTTGACATCCCATCCCCCATCCCCACCCTAGCTTGATTTTTACCCATGTACCTCGCCCCACCCCATGCACCCCGGAATGGGCAGGGTCTTAACTAGGGCTTATTTGAGGGGTAGGGCATATATTGGACTCACAAGTAAATCCTTTTACTTATGAGTTACTGACACTCATAAATCCTTTCCTTGGGAATAAAATACAACATGGAAGTCTTAAATCAATACCAATGTGCTTCCTTTTATGATTTCATCACTTATTTTCTCCTTTCTGCCTAGCGGTAGAGCCGGTCCTACAAAATCTTATAAGAGAAGCACTCTTCTGATTAACTTCATGCCTTGCTTCTTCTTTCTGCTACCTAAAGGTTGATGTTCAAAGCTTCAACATTTAGCTTTATTTAACTTTAGAAACTGTGGAAACTTTTCATGAAAGAGCCTTAGTGGCGCAGCAGACTTTGCTGTTAAGTAACACCAGCTGCCTGCAATTACTGCAAGTTCAAATCTCACCAGGCTCAAGGTTGACTCAGCCTTCCATCCTTTCGAGGTAGGTAAAATGAGGACCCGGATTGTGGGGGCAATAAGCTGACTTTGTATAAAAAAGAACACTGCTTAGGAGGGGCCGAAAGCCCTACTAAGCAGGTATATACAAAAGTATGAAGGCTATTGCTTAACGCATTGTAAGCCACCCTGAGTCTCCAGAGAAAGGCGGCATATAAATCGAACCAATAAATAAATAAATGAATAAATGAAGGAGACACGATTGCCTTCCTCCAATCTTCTGTTGATAAGAGGTTGGTCACTATTATAGGTAGCACTGCTGAGTTTAGTTTTTTTATGGTGGCCTCAGAGCTTGATGATCTCAGTGGGTCATGGCCTTTCCAGTGAATTCCTCTCTTCATTAAATTGTTGTTACCCAGTTCTTTGGCTCCCGTCTGAATACCCAATTCTCTGTCTAAACAGGGGGGGTTCAGAAGTTTCTGAACATTTCAGAGGTGCAGCATTGCTGTCATTTGTCTGGAGGGCCCCCAAGAGGATGCCAAAAGAGGGACAAAATGAAATGTGAATACAAAAATTATTTTAAAAAAATAATTAAATAGAGGCGCCGTAGATCTAACTACTGACAGTCAGCAGAATTAGCCTGCAATACTGCATTCTAAAGGGACGTGGTGGCTCAGTGGCTAAGATGCTGAGCTTGTCAGTTGAAAGGTCGGCAGTTCAGCAGTTCGAATCCCTAGTGCCATGTAACAGGGTGAGCTCCCGTTACTTGTCCCAGCTTCTGCCAACCTAGCAGTTTGAAAGCACGTAAAAAATGCAAGTAGAAAAATAGGGACCACCTTTGGTGGGAAGGTAACAGCGTTCCGTGCGCCTTTGGCGTTTAGTCATGCCAGCCACATGACCACGGAGACGTCTTCGGACAGCGCTGGATCTTCGGCTTTGAAACGGAGATGAGCACCGCCCCCTAGAGTCAGGAACGACTAGCACATATGTGCGAGGGGAACCTTTCCCTTTCCCTTAACTTTGAGCCAACCTTGCCCTCGTGATATCTCTGTTAGAACTTTACATAATTCTCCAGATCTCAGCAACAATCCATTTCAAGATAAAGCACCTGATCCAATGACATAAATGATTCAACAGAAGATTTTAAGCATTTCTCTTCCTCGAATCTTTGGCTTCAAAATTGACTGTTTCCAAGAAAAATAAAACACACAAAAAAAGCCCCACACCATTGGGGAAACCACGCACAATAAACATGACAGTTTTGAAGGATTAATCACTTACAGAGATACATATTTCTTGATCAAAGAAGGGAGGCTAGACACACGGACATTTTTCATTCATTTTGTTCATGCATTTTTCATCCAGAATCCATTGAGAAAGCTTTTACAATTTTGGCCTAGATGGCTTTAAAAAAATCACTTAGATTGCCTATTTGATATGGGAACAAATGACACCTGGGGGCCAAACTCAACGGCGTCTATTATCAGCCACAATTATGTCAAAAGATCTTATGTGACTTATAAATGCCATCATATCGTGCAGATAATTCCCCACCCCTCTGTAGATACCTACGTTCCTGTGGCCATTGTTCTTTAGCCTTTGAGATGTGGCAGTGTGATGCAGTTACGAATTGCTTCATACAGATAGTCCTTGACTTGTAACCCATTTATTTTGTGACCGTTCGAAGTTGCAATGACATTGAAAAAAGTAACTTCAGCGAAGCTTCAGATCTGAAGAAGCTTCGTGGATGAGAAGCGAAACATCTTCAAGGAAAAACGAAGAAAGTCCAGTTGCCTCTTGAAAAAGCACCTTTCTCATACACTTAAAGAGAAAATTGGTTGGGCAGAAATTTAGAATAGAATAGAATAGAATTTTTATTGGCCAAGCGTGATTAGACACACAAGGAATTTGCCTTGGTGCATATCAGAGGTGGGTTCTAAAAATTTTTACTACCGGTTCTGTGGGCGTGGCTTATTTTATGGGCGTGGTTTGATGGTCATGTGACAAACCTACCAGGCTCTTAACTGCTTGCAGAGCCGTACCAATCTACCCATTTGTTTTTGGAGCGCACTGGTCTACCACCACACTGCCTTTTACCGCTGTAGGACGACTTTTTGAAAAGCGCCGCGGCAAGATTTTAAACAGTTTTTTGCTGCTCTGCCACCACCGAGAGCATTGGAAACTACTTTCAGGCAGCTTGGCCTCAGTTGCCAATCTACCACCACCGAGTGGTTTATAAGGAGTGGATTGGTTCTAGCCGATCAGTTGGGAGGCTTCTTGGCTTCTCAATTTAGAATAGAATAGAATAGAATAGAATAACAGAGATGGAAGGGACCTTGGAGGTCTTCTAGTCCAACCCCCTGCCCAGGCAGGAAACCCTACACCACTTCAGACAAATGGTTATCCAACATCTTAAAAACTTCCAGTGTTGGGGCATTCACAATTTCTGCAGGCAAGTTGTTCCACTTATTAATTGTTTTAACTGTCAGGAATTTCACCTTAGTTCTAAGTTGCTTCTCTCCTTGATTAGTTTCCACCCATTGCTTCTTGTTCTACCCTCAGGTGCTTTGAAGAATAGTTTGACTCCCTCTTCTTTGTGGCAACCCCTGAGATATTGGAACACTGCTATCATGTCTCCCCTATTTAAAGCTAAGGTGTCTTGGTTTTTTTTCCTTCCCTTCTTTGTCAAGTGAGCCCTGATTTATTTCTTCTAGCCGATCAGCTGGGACTCGGGAGGCAGCGAATAGATTGGGGGCGGGGCCAGGCAGAGGTGGTATTTACCGGTTCTCCGAACTACTCAAAATTCCACCACCAGTTCGCAAGAACCGGGGAGAACCAGTAGCAATCCACCACTGGTGCATACGCTCTCAGTGTACATAAAAGAAAAGATACGTTCATCAAGAATCATAAGGTACAACACTTAATGATAGTCATAGGGTACAAATAAGCAATTAGGAAACAATATCAGTATAAATCAAAAGGATGTTAATCAAAATTAACAACAAAATAACCAAAAGAATCCCGTGCATGTACTCACTCTGAAAACGAATAATAATGAAAAATACGTGCAAACCGAGTCTATATCTTTTTATTAGACAAAGACCATTTTTATCATTGACAGGAGATTCCTAAATGCTTTCTTTAACAAACCAATTCAGCTCCCACAACAGATGCTTTTCTGCAAAGGCATCGGCTAGTAAAAACAGGTTAATGCAGAAATTAAACTTCGCCCAAGGATTGAAGTGGGCTCCAGACTAACATTTATTGAATGATAAGCTGTCACGGCAATATAAAAAGTATTTGGCATAATAGGAAATAAACTTCTTTTTTCCTGTCAATACTGAAGGACACACACAAATTGGTTTTTCTGTTGGGGAATTCCTAGCCCAGAGAAACTTATTACTTCTAATAATACAAGGTGATGAGAAAAAAAAGTCAGAGATGAATTTATTAAACAAAATAATGAAATGCTGTGAAACAGCATGGGAATAGTAGCCAAATCTTTTATGGTTCTAGGACAAAAAAATTCCACTATGGATAATGGCTTGTTTGGGGAAAGGAGAAATGGAATTATTTGTGGGAATGTGAATGCTTCAGGTGGCGAAAGGAATTGAGGTCAAGTTCCAAGGCCTTACAAGTTGAGTTGCTACTTATATATAAAATAGGGGTAAAGTACTATTAGTACTACTAAGATCAGATTACTGCACCACACAAACTAAATTTATGGAAAATTCAGAAGCAGCTTTCTATTCAGAAGCAAACCAAAGAAGAGCCAAGTTACATGCATCAAAGCCTCTTCTTCAGGGGAGAGCAAATATGGCAACTTTATGACTTGTGGACTTCAACTCCCAGAATTCCTGCTGGCTTAGGAATTCTGGGAGTTGAAGTCCACAGGTCATAAAGTTGCCATATATGCCCACCCTACTGAAGACAAGCCATAGATGTGTTTGAATCATGTTCTTTCTTCCCCCTCCTCTTTATTCTAAAGCAATTTTTCATCTCTTTTTCCTGACATGGAGGCTATCATTTCTTACAGCCCACTCAGTGCACTCATGGATAAAGTTGATAAGAAGTGGAAATACAGAAATTCAGATCAAGGGGTTGATGTTCATGAAGGTTATTTATTGTTTCCAAGATTAGAAGAAGCTTGGCTTCATTGGCTGGCAGTGGGAACAAGAGAGCTTGTGGTCCTTCATGGAGTATGTTCTTTTCAGTGCAATTGAAAAGGATGCTGGGAGTTGTAGTTCAGTAGGGACCCATCTTCATGTCCTGCTTACTAATGGCATAAAGATGCTCTAATACAACTTTTTTCCTTTTCACTAAAACGGTTGGTGTGGCCAGCGCATGATGCATTTGGCCCGTGCACCGCGAGTTTGACACCGCAGCTCTAACAGTTGCTTTTAAGGAACATGTTATTTTATATGTGGCTCACCTATTCTGGAAGCCTAGAGGGCAAGACCACCAAAAATAGTCCTTCAGAATTGGAGCAGAAGGTCCCACCTTTGTTGAGTCAATGAAAGTACATACACCAAATCCAGAAATTATTTTGCAGCCTAGAGAGCTTTTCTTTGGATTGATTTACTAGTAAGAGCAGGAAAGAGAAGTAGTTTTTGGCACTTGTGTCAGAAGCATTGAGGTGCTTCCGGGTTGAAAGGATTAGCTGGTGACATCACCGTTATCCCTGGAGATGCTCCTTCCATGTTCCCGGCAGGAGCTGGAGTGAAAGATGGGAGCTCAACCCTGTCTCACAGCAGCTCTTGGGTCTCAAACGCAGGCTTGCTAACCTCCTGCCCAGTGTTCCAACCATTCAAGCCACTGTGCTCCATAAGAGAAATAGTTATGACAATATAGTAGTTTTGGTTCTCTCTCCTCTCTGAGGAATTCTGAAGTTGGGAAATTGCAGGATTCATAGGTGCTCCAAATCAGAAGAGAAGGAAAACTTCCATCTCTCCATCTTCCAGCTGGTGGTGCCATATTCTTTCAACACCTCCCTGCTGTCTGGAATACTCTTCTACTTCATATTCAGGAGGTTATAACTATTATCTTATTTTTTGGAGTACAAGATGCTCCGGACTATAAGACGCACCTACCTTTTTTGGGGAGGAAAACAAGAAAAAAAAAATCTGCCTCTCAGCAATTTGCCTCCGCGTAGCAATAGGCAATGGCAATCCCTGCAGCCTGAATCAGCTGAGGGTCGGGAGGCCGATCCAACCGACAATCAACTGCTTGTGCTAATCAGGCTGTGCTGAAGCTGAAACGGGCTGTTTGCTGCAAGGAGGTAAATTGCTGGGAGGTAGAGGCCAAAGGGTAGGGGTTGGAGGGTGAGCAGGTGGGCGGGGCTACATTCAGTGCACCCAAATTTTCACTCTCTTTTGGGGGGGAAAGTGCGTCTTATACTCCAAAAAATACGGTAAGTGTCTTAGATCAGAGTTCCCCAACCTTTTTAGCTTTACAGACCAGGGGGGGGCAGAAAAGAGGGAACGGGGTGAGTGAGAACAAGTGGGGATGCGCACAGGTGCACGCTCGCCCACCCACTTCTGTGGCCCGGTTCTGAAAAGGATCACGTCCCATTAGTGGGCCACGGCCCAGATATTGGTGGCCCCTGCCTTAAATGTCTACAGTGGACATTCACCTCTTCCCCAGGTGCGAATGCCACGTGTGAGTTATATTCACTCTCTCGCTTCCCCTCACTTTTTAATCTATAGTTCATTCCAAATCTTTTAAATTTACTGCAGTTTTATTTGTTGCATTTAAATACTTCTTCTCGGCTAACTTGCCATGCCAATTTTTCAAGATTGTTTTAATATTAGAAAGATATTTCTTCTTTAAAAGTAAACTCTACAGTTTCCCCCAAATTGGCTTTGAGGTTTTTAGTGCTCGTACAATACATACTATATCTCTCCTCAGATGTCTGGGGCTCCCTGGTTTCCAAGAGCTACTCTATGCTTCCATTTATATTTTTAGTGATTGTCTTTTATTTAGTAGTGTGTTTCTTCCTGTCATTATACTGTATTTTATTACCCTATAAGCCACTTTGTGCACCTGCATTTTGAAGAGGGAAGGCAGGAAAGAAATCTTTCTGTAAATTAGATACACACACACACACACACACACACTCTAGATAGATGTATGCATTTATATGCAAATTCCTATTTGCTGTACACCTGCAGTGACTTCTTTGGAGCCTAACATAATAGTTTTGTCTTTCTTTTTTTATTCGTCTTTCCTAAGGTTGGATTCAAACCTGCAGGAGGCATTCGCAAAGCCAAAGAGGCCTTGATCTGGCTTTCCCTGATGAAGGAGGAATTGGGAGAGGAATGGCTGAAACCAGAACTCTTTCGCTTGGGTGCCAGTACTTTGCTGGGAGATATTGAAAAACAGGTTAGATTCGAACCTGCTGCCTTTCAGCAGGAAGGTTCCACTTCCTTCAATACATTTAACCCAGGGGTGAAATCCAGCAGGTTCTAGAGAACCGGTAGCGGAAATTTTGAGCAGTTCGGAGAACCAGCAAATACCACCTATGGCTGGCCCCAGAGTGGGGTGGAATGGAGATTTTGCAGTATCCTTCCCCTGCCACGCCCACCAAACCAAGCCACACCCACCAAGCCATGCCCACAGAACCGGTAGTAAAAAAAATTGGATTTCATCACTGATTTAATCCTTAATCTGGGCTAACATAACACAATTGTTGGGTTAATAGAAGAATGTATTTATTTTTATTTTATTTTATTTATTCATTTGATTTGTCAAACGTGTAAGATAACAGATATAAGTATAAACATGATTATGAATGCAGGATAAGGATACAAATAAATGGGGACAGTAGGACAGGGACAGTATTTGCTTGGATTAATAAAACAGTCCAGAGATGGAGAGAGTTTCAGTGGTCAAAGTACAGCCTCTTGACTTCTAGGGGGGAGGCAATACGGCTAGTATTTATGACCACAGTAGAGCCTGGAATTTTCGTGGTAAAGTCATTAGGGTCCTCAGGATTGATCAGGGTCTGCAGGATTGTCTGGGACGCTACACATCCACTTCACGACCTGTTTTCCTTCGTGTGTGTGTGTGTGTGTGTGTGTGTGTGTGTGTGTGTATGGGTGCGTATCAGTGGTGAGTTGTTCCCAGTTCGGTTCTATAGAACCGGTAGTAAAACCAGCGGGAGGCTCCACCCACCAACCCCTGATGTCATCAGGAAGCTTCTGTTGTAAATCGGTAGTAAAGGTAAGTAGAACCCACCCCTGGCGTGTATGTATATATTTATATATGGGTGTGTGTATGGGTGTGTATGTATATCTTTATATCTACAGTACATGTGTGTGTATGTTTATGTATATATGTGTGTTTGTGTATGGGTGTATGTATTTATTTATATATATGGGTATGGGTATGTATGTATATGTGTGTGGGTGTGCATGTATATCTTTATATCTACGTGTGTGTGTGTATGTATATGTATACTTTATGTTATATCTCTATGGGTAGATATGTACCAAAAAAGTGACAATAAAGGTTATCTTATCTATAAGTCGAGGCACCAAGTTACTAGATTCAATTTTACAACCATTTTGTGAAGGTTGTAAAGTGAGTCACATAATCATTAAGCATGGGCATTTTTTGCTGGAAACTGGCAAAACTGACAGGGTCATGTGATTGCGGGGTGTGTGTGTGTGCTACAACCAAGCATAATTGCGAGCCAGTTGCCAAATGCCCAAACGCAATCATGTGATCACTGGGGGGCAGGGGGCAGTCCTAATTTCAAGGATGGAACGTAAGTAGCTTTTTCCAAAGTCCATCGTAACTGAATGTCTACTGGTTAAAGGTTAAACTTATCAGCTGGAAAGATGACTGCCTGGGTTTGAGACCTGACAACCGCGTGATGGGGTGAGCTCCCATTACTTGCCCCAGCTCCTGCTCACGTAGCACTCCAAAAGCATGCTAATGCAAGTAGATAAAGAGATACCATTTCAGTGGGAAGGTAACAGCGTTCAGTGCGCCTTGTTGTATAGTCATGCTGACCTCAGCACCATGGAAGTGGCTTCAGACAACGCTGACTCCCTCAGCTAAGAAACAGAGATGAGAACTGCCCTCTAGAGTCGGACACAATCAGACGGGGGAAAACTGTACCTTTTACCTTTACCTTTAATCTAACTGTACATGATTGATTTGGAATGAGTCCTATGTATCCCATTTTCTATGGAGACAGACGGAAAATTGCCAGATAAATGTAAGATGAAGCACACCAGGTGAAATAAATAGTATCAGCCTATATTTCCTTTTTAAAGAGAATGGCTTCAGATAAGGCATGCTCTTAATCAGTGTGAATAATTAAGTGTCTATCCGCTGGGTCCACCTTTGCATTAACCTACCCATACATTTGCCAGTTTTATTATCCCGGTTTAATTTTTGCTTTTTTGTTTCCATTGCACAGATTTATTATCACGTGACCGGCAGATACCCAGCTTCCTATGACCTGCCCATGGCTTAGACCGGTGACGGATTCATACTGTGAAAGAGCGAAAGAATTAAACCAACAATGTCTTGAATTTTTTTCTATCCCCTGAAACCACGTCCTTACTAAGTGCTTTACAAAACGGATTAAAACTGTGGTGCCTCCATTTCACAGTTTCAGTGTTCTTAGAATGGCCCAAGGCCCAGGTGAATCAATGGAGAAATCTTTGAATGTTGAAGATTTCTAGTGTTATTTGTTTTGTAATGGCATACATTGACTTTGGCCTGGATTTCAGGAAACAACCAGGAAATGATTATTTTAGGGTGAATTTTGTACTTGAAATTAAGCATTTGTGAATTGCCATATATATATATAAATAAAGTATACCAAAATCTGATGATCAGCAGTAGAATAGAATAGAACAGAATTCTTTATTGGCCAAATTGGACACACAAGGAATTTGTCTTGGTGCATACGCTCTCGGAGTACATAAAAGAAAAGATACGTTCGTCAAAAATCATAAGGTACAACACTTAATAATAGTCATAGGGAACAAATAAGCAATCAAATCATATTAGAAAACAGTCAATATAAATTGTAAGGATACCAGCAACAAGGTTACAGTCATACCGTCATAATGTGGGAGGAGATGGGTGATAGGAACGATGAGAAGATTAATAGTAATGCAGACTTAGTAACTAGTTTGACAGTCTTGAGGGAATTATTTGTTTAGTAGAGTGATGGCGTTCGGGAAAAACTGTTCTTGTGTTCTAATTGTTCTGGTGTGCAGTGCTCTATAGCATCGTTTTGAGGGTAGGAGTTGAAACAATTTATGTCCAGGATGTGAGGGGTCTGTAAATATTTTCACAGCCCTCTTTTTGAATCGTGTAGTATAGAGGTTTTCAATGGAAGGCAGGTTGGTAGCCATTGTTTTTTCTGCAGTTCTAATTATCCTCTGAAGTCTGTGTCTGTCTTGTTGGGTTGCAGAACCAAACTCCAAATTCCAGTATTGGAATAGACCGTGATAAAAGCACCTCAGTGGTGCAGAGTTTCAAAATTATGCCATTTAGGCTATTTAGAAAACATATGAATCCAAACTGGTGTGTGTTATGAGGGGAAGGTATAACTGTGCCCCAACCTTGCAGTCCTGACTAGGAGTGTGGTCAATCAATCATGCCTTCTTCACGTTAAGAAATAACAGTGGAATTATTTGAAATCTCTTCGTTCTTCCTCTGAAAAGGTTCTACAGAGGACTGAACGAGTCATCGCCACCAAGCCTTATAGTTCCTATAAAGATCCAAATTTAGTCCCTTTCTATTGACGTACTGTATTTCCCTGAAAATAACTGGGTCTTATATTAATTTTTGTTCAAAAAGATGCATTAGTGCTTATTTTCTGGTTAGGTCTTATTTTGGGGGAAATGCGGTACTAAATGCACCCATCTGGCTGACAATCTGAACTGGGGCTTATTTTGGGGGTAAGGCTTATATTAAAAGCATCCTGAAAAATCCTGCTAGGACTTATTTTCCAGTTGGGTCTTATTTTTGGGGAAACAGGGTAGTAATTCTTGCAATTGCTGATAGGGTGATGATGTTTTTGCTAATTTGGCCCAGAAAACATCTGACCCTTTTTCAGTACCGTCACGTCCTGCTAGTTGTATGTGAGAATCTGAGAGAATTCAGATAACAAGCTACCAGAATCTCAGATAACTTTGGCTAGATTGGGTGTTATTGGGAACACAGCAATAGCACGTAGACTTATATACCGCTTCACAGTGCTTTACAGCCCTCTCTAAATGGTTTACAAAGTCAGCATATTGCCCCCAACAATCTGAGTCCTCAGTGTACCAACCTCAGAAGGATGGAAGACTGAGTCAAACCTTGAGCCGGTGAGAATTGAACTGCCGAACTGCAGCCAGCAGAAGTAGCCTGCAGTACTGCATTCTAACCACTGTGCCACCATGCCTTTCAACATCTCTTGAAAGGTCAATAGTCAATAGTTAACCCGTTTGGATTAAAATTCCCATCAATACATGCATTTGAATATAGCCACATCAAACTATTTGAAGGATTGTTTTTTCCTGGTCACGTCTACCCAACCCACCAGAGCAGGGAAACAGGGAATGCTACTGGTTACCTCTTCCAAGATGGTCCATTAAGCAGGACCAAGAAGAAGGGCCTTCTCCATGGTGGCTCCCTCCCTCATCCCCACAGAGATAAGATTGGCCTCTACTTTGATACTGAAAACCTAGTTTTGCCAATGGGCCCAGGGACTTCAGAATCAGATGGAACCCATCAAATGGCTGATCTGATTATTGTCGCCAGGGACGTGAGGGGTTATTGCCTTTCTATTGTTTTCATATTGAGAGTGAGTTGGATGGCCATTTAAGTTTTGTTAAATACCGTATTTTTCAGAGTATTTTTATTTATTTATTTATTTATTTATTATTCAAATTTCTATACCGCCCTTCTCCTTTCGGACTCAGGGCGGTGAACAGCCAAAATAAAACATTTATACATAAAGTACGATTAAAAATAGATTTAAAATAATTAAATTTGGCCCATAGTTTAAAATTTATCAATTTAAAATCCATATCAAAATTTAAAATCAACCATAAAATCATAAAATCAAGAGAGACCGTCTAACTGAAAGAGATGAGTTTTTAGGGCCCGACGAAAAGTCCGGAGGTCGGAGATCACTTGTATCTCTGGGGGTAGATTGTTCCAAAGGGAACAATCTACCCCCAGCTTAGTTTTTTGGGGAGGAAAACAGGGGGGGGGAATCTGCCTACCAGGTATTCATCTGGCTGGCGTCCTTAGTCTGGTCAGCTTCAGCACATTAGTTTTCTGGTTTTTTATCCCCTGTTTGGGAATAAAAAACAGCTTCTAAGGCACAGCTGAGAGGAAGCAGTAATGAGAAAAGCAGGCAAAGCATGGGGGAGGGGGAGATCGCTTCACTCGGCTAGCACCTAGTTAGGGCTGAAAAAAAAAGCTTCTAAAGAACAGTTGAGAGTCGGAGCAAAGCATGGAGATCGCTTCACTCGCTAGCGCCTCGTTAAAGCACTGGATAGTCAAGGGAGCAGGCAAAGCTGGGAAGATCTTATTTATTTATTTATTATTTAGACTTATATGCCGCCCTATCTCCGAAAGGACTCAGGGCAGCTCACAACAATAAAACACACAAAGTTCAACTGTTTTTTTTTAAAATACCCAATAAACTATAAAAACCATTAAAATCCCCTCTAAAACCCCTTCAGTCCAAGCCGGCCAGGCGGAATAACCATGTTTTAAGGCCACGGCGGAAAGAGCGAAGATCAGGGGCCACCCGGAGGCCCAGGGGGAGCTGATTCCACAGGGTAGATCGCTTGCTAGCGCTTCATTAGCGCCTCATTAGGGCTGAAAAAAAGCTTTGAAAAAGCTACATTCGGAGTATAAGACGCACCCAAATTTTCAGCTTCTTTTAGGGGGGGAAATGGTGCGTCTTATACTCCGAAAAATACGGTAAATAAATAAATTTATCATGCTTGGGCTACCAGCTTTAGCGTGGGCCAGCCAACATGGCCACCCAAACTCACTATATAATAATGGGGGCTATAGTCTAGCTGCTGCAGCTAAATTTGGGGGAGGGGGGGTTGTCAGCCTGACTCATGTTTCCAACTGTTCCAGCTTCTCAAGCCATATGGAACAGCAAAGTTTTCTCTGGTAAGTTTCGAAGTTGGGAGCTGTTGAAATTTTCTTAGATTCCCAGCTAGCCGTAAGTACGGTAGCTGCTTCACATGCTACAGTCAGACATAAAGGAATCTGCCTACGTGAAACTTCAACACGAAATAGCTTCCCTGTTATTTTACTTTTTTTTTTTTTTGAAGCGTGCTCCCTATATAGAAGACGAGAGCTTCTTAAGAGTTTTGATACGTGATAGAATTTTAAAGTATTCTGAAATTTAAACAAAACCATTTGGCACAAATGAGTAAGGAAACAGGGTTGTTTGGGCCAGACGTCTAGCAGGGGTGGGTTCTAAATTTTTTTACTACTGGTTCTGTGGGCGTGGCTTATTTTGTGGGTGTGGCTTGGAGGTCATGTGACTAGGTGGGCGTGGCTAGCTGGTCAGAGTCATTTCTGGAAGGTCCTTGCACTTACGACCAGTCCTCGCACTTACGACCCGACTCATTTGTTTGCTTTTAACACTGATCAGCTGTAGGATGGCCCTTTGAAGCCCAGCGGAAAGAGTTTAAACAGTTTTTTTCCCTCTAGTCATCAGCTGGGACTCAGGAGGCAGCAATAGATCGGGGGTGGGACCAAATAAAAGGTAAGAATAACGTGGGTGGGAGGGCGGGAGGGGAGAACCGGTTCGGTGACGTCATATCATCACCGCTACTGGCTCGGCCGAACCGGACCGAACCGGGAGGAACCCACCACTGACGTCTACGTTATATAGTCCAGAAAGTTCGATAGTGAACATTGTCAAAGCTGAAGAGGAGTTTTGAATTTGAAACACACACACATTGAACTGCCCTATTTCACTGCAAACAGCTGTTTTTGAGTGTGAAAAAAAAACCCCACTCAAAACAGCTTGTTTTGCTTTGGGAGCAGCTGTTGCACATTGAAAATGGGGCATTTCACACTTCCAATTGGAATGTTTTGAATTACACATGATTGAGTTGCAACTATTTTATAGATCCTGACTTTTCAAAAAAAAAAAATTGTACTTCTTTGGGGACGAAGGAGGAAAAAAAAAACTACAAGCAAACAGCTTGGATCTGGGCCTCTTCATCTCTTGCCGAAAACAGAAAAGAGCTCCTGGGTGAATTTTTGTTACAGCCCTGACGTTGTAAAATCAATTGCTTGACATTTTAAGAACATATGTTTAAATAAACGAATAATCTGCAAGGGTTGTTCTCCCATTTCACTTGAGATTAATTACTGCCTGCACGCGACACAACTAAAAATAATATTTGAATCATTACCTTTCTAAAGATCAGGCTACCAGCAGTTCCACGCCTTATTTTGTCATGCCGTCTGCTAAGGAATTATTTTTCTTTTCTAGAAGGCCACCATCACATAAAACAAGTAATTCCAAGGAAAACAAAGGAACATTTTTTTTTTATTATATTCATAACATAAAATATTGGTGTGATTTTGTTTTAGAAAAGAAGGATGCACATTGTCAGGACAATCCCATAATGTTAGATGCATGGCGTTGGGCAGAAATTATTCAGGCATAATGGAAAAGCACCGAATGCTTTCAAAGTAACTCTCGGTGTCTGCTGGATGTGGCTTGTTACTGGAAATAAATTTGAGATTGAACTGTAAGGATTTTTTTTAACTAAACAAAAAAACTATCCCCAAAATACAAGTAATCCTTGATTTACAACATTTAGTGACAAAAGTTATAACACCAC